GACTGCCTTCGGCTCAGGTCATGATCCTGGAGTCCCGGGATCGAGTCCCACATCGGGCTCCCTGCTCAGCAGGGGGTCTGCTTCTCCCTCTGCCCTCTTCCCTCTCGTGCTCTCTGTCTCTCATTCTCTCTCTCTCAAATAAATAAAATCTTTAAAAAAAAAAAAGGCTTTCAATTTTTTCTCTAAGTTGATCTCACTCTAGCAAACCTTACAAATTCTAAAACCTTTACTCAATATCCTTTTCAAATGCCAAGTCATTCTTCAAAGTCTACCTAAAGCTTATTTTTCCATGAAGCTTTGCGAGAATATTTTAGCTATTGACTATCTTACTAGCCTGTGAATTAATATATTATTTAAACTCTGACCCATATAACTCAGCACTTAAGTGTTATATTTTTTAAACTTAAGTCATAATTATCTCCCTCATCCAACTAGATTTTATGTGATTTGACATCAGAGATCAGTTTCATACTTCATCGGTATTCTCAATAAGTCCTTGTAGTACTGAGACCATAGAAGCATCCAATAAATATTTGTTAATTAATTAACAACACAGGTAACTTGTCTGTCCTAGCAACTCTGGAAATAAAGTTCCTCATTGACTGTTATTTCATATTAATTTATCCCATCTTTAAATATGAAACTAAAGAATTTAAAGCAAATTAATACAGTTATAATAAAACAATTTATAGATCTTCACAGTTACAAAGTGTGCTCATTTTGGCCTTCCAATAGTCATGTGGCGTTATTATTATTCTCTTTCTAAAAATGATAAATCTAACTCATAAAAGTAAAATGATTTACCCAAGGTCACCCAGCTAGTGAATGACAGAGCTAAATCATAAAACCAAATACTGTGCCTCCAAGTCTAGTATTCTTTCTCTATGTTCCCTCTTGAAATTGTAGTTTTATATATATATGTACATACACACATACATACTATGTTGTTTTAATCATAAACTCATATTTTGCTTTTTATGTTTCACCCGTCTCAGTTTTTAGATTACTAATATATTTCATTATTATTAGATTTCATTATACAGTTTGCACATAAGTTTAGTTTTTATGTTTACAAAAAGTCTTTATATTCAGGATGCATCTCTCCTCCCAAAAGCCCTTCTAAATTATTCTCAAAATTGAAATAAATCACTAACCACACATCAGCAATCCTAGAATAATCAGAGGTGCTGCAGTTGCATCTGAAGCAAAGCCAGATGTGAAACAGATGCACTACCACCAGAGTTATAGATCACTGATATCAGGTAAGTGCTTTAACTTTGATTAATTTTGGAATGGGATGGGTGGAGCTGGTCTAGGAGAGGCTATTAGGAGACCTCAGTTTCCCCAAGTGATTTCACCCCGGACCCCTATCGGACCCTCCCAGCTCAGCTTCCACCATCCTTATCAAAGTTTAAAGCACTTACCTGATATAAGAACCTGAAACTCCAGCACTGCTGTACTACATCTGTCTTACTTCCAGTTTGTCAAGTAGGTACAGTTGCAGAACCTGCTCCAGCACCTGTAGCTCACAGTGTTGTACCACAGTGGATGTCAGCTGCCAAAACTAAAAATATTTAAGCTTAATTTCATTAGGAACTTACTTCAAAAATGATTTTCAACATTAATAGTTTTTTTTTTTTTACTTACCATTTGGATAGGGTGTTTCACATAAAGTAAGAAATTCAACAATAGGATGATCCATTTCAAGCACTGTAATTGCTTTTCCATGCATGATGGTTAAACTTGGTCTTCTGCAAGCTTTGTCATAGGACAATCCACCAGAAAATATTATGAATGGTTCACTACATAGAAAAAAAGTTAATGAGATTGAGAAGTCCTTTAAGATGATACAGTATCATAGGACTGAGCTAATGAAAAATAAGTTTGGTTGGGATTATACACAACACAATTTGACAGCAAATATCTTTCTTTTTTTTTTTTATTCTTATGTTAATCCCTAGACAGCAAATATCTTTCTTAGTCCAAAATAACTCACCCAAATGACTTACTATTCTACCATTTCCCTTTTTCTGGTTGTGAATTCTTACCATTAAAATTACTAATGAATCAGTCTAAAGGTGATGAGGTGTGTTGGGGAAAAGGTAGAGAAGTTGGAGGGAAATAGAGGTACTCATTGAGTCAAAAGGACATCTCCACATGTATTAGTTGATTCCCAAAACTCTATGTCACTACCATTAGAATATTAAGCTATGTTAGTTTATCATATTAACCATTTGGCATGTGGGGTCCAAAATTCCTAAGGGATAAAGGAGGCAAATTTCAATATAAAATTAAATGCAACAATAGCAAGCCCAGAGTGGTAGAATGTAACATGAAAATTCTATGTAATGGAATATCTGTGGGGAAAGGGTTATGATAAAAAGATGGAGAAAACTAAGACAAAAAATGTGATCTTCCCAATTTTACCTTGGGTCAGCCAGTTCTATTTAGCTACTAAAACTAACATCAAACTTTTTACACCCTGTTAGTTGCAAGATACAATTAGATAAATTGAGCGGGGCTGAGATGACTATAAAATATTACAGCTGTCAGAAAGTTATGAAAGAGTGTCATAACTTTTCACTTTTCTCAAATTAATACCTGTATCCCTAGTTTATGTATATAAAAGAAAATATGTTGATGAAGTATATTTAATAAGTAAATACCAAACTGAAAGTATTCTCCAAAAATTTTTTTAAAAAGAACTAGACACTTATTTTACCAAATTCTTTGAGAACATATGCTTCTCTAAATAATTCATTTCCATCTATTCACTAAAGAATCTACTAGTTTCTAAAAATCACTCTATAAATTTCCCTTTCTCTTTCATTTTGTACTGTACATGGTACCAAACATTACCAATGGGACATTTGCTAATCTTAGGCTGGCTATATAACAAGAACAAAAAAGAGCTTTTTAAAAAGTTTCCATTAAAACTTACATATAAAGTATCTATACTGATTTTTATTTATAATTCTGTCTTAATGTTTTAACATAAATATTTGAGTTGTAAGCTAAATAAGAAAAAATACTCTAATTTATTTTCCTTGAGTCCTGTATCAGTTGATGTTAGTCTTGCTTCAGTAATTTGGCATACTAAATTACCAACCTAGTAATGGTGGTACTAAGCAGCAAGTTTTTTCCTATAAAATAAATGCTTGTATTATTAAGATTTTTCCAGATTTAAAAGTCGTTTCTAATGAAATGAGTGTTTTTGCACCTTTTTGTGTTGCTTTGTTTTACAACAAACGTCATGATTTAGAGAACATATTATCTTTTCACACATACTGAGGTTAGCTATCTGCTCCAAATGTTAATAAGGTCATAAATGTCTATTTTTTCCATGTAAAAGGGGGTGAAGTTAATCTCATCTCCCCTACTGCTAATCCAAATATAGGGTAAGAAGCAATTTACTCTCCCCTTTTTTTTGGTAAGCACATTGGAAAATATGTCCTTTCTAATATTGGAAGAAAGCAAAACCTTTTCTGCTTTTATCATGACTCCGCATCAGACACTGGGTCTAAAGTTAATTGCTGATATATATGCACTTCTTTGTAAACTATTGAATGACTGAACAAAAAGTTAATTCCTCAGGAAATGCTCAGGAAACCACTCATGAATAATTGCATTAGATACTTAATTATCACATTAAATTCTCATAAGTATAATCCTCATTTTATTAATGAGGTTAAGTAACAACTAAGCAGAAAAACCCAAAAGAAAACAGATCTGTCAGATTTCAAAGTCTATTTTCCTAAACAGTGATCTATACTGCCTGTAGCAGATAACTCTGGGATTAATGCAGGTGAACTTGTTTAGAGTCAAGCAGCTATGGAGTGGAAGGATAAAGATTCAAATCCAGACTCTAAAGTACATTTTTCACTTCTAGTCTAATGTTTCTAAAACTGTGGAATATAACTTAAAAAATGCTCTGAAAAAAAGCTTTTTTTTAAAAAGATTCTATTTATTTATTTGACAGAGAGAGAGCACAAGCAGGGGGAGAAGAAGGAGAAGCAGGCTCCCTGCTTAGGACCCTGGAGTCATGACCTGAACTGAAGGCAAACACAACCGACTGAGCCACCCAGGCATCCCTGAAAAATAGTTTTTAATTTAAAATTTGATAGACACTTGCACACCATGTCTCCCTTTTGAAATTTTATAATTCAGGCCATATAGCAAAGAAAGATTCTAAGAAACTATACAGTAAAGAATCCAATTTACTTTTATATAACCCAGAATTTCTTAGATCTCTCAAATATATTTGATTACAGATTCCTATTTTTCCATGAATACAGTTAGTGATCAAAGGAACACAATTTGATAAATGTTATACCACACAAAACTGACTCCTTTACTACAAGTGTGTCTGGGCACACTGGTCAGATGGATTATTACAAAAGAAATAAATAACTATATAATTAACAATGTCTTCATACATAAAGAAAACATCAATACAAATTAAAAATTAGTTTTTAAAGATTTTATTTGTTTATTTATTTGACAGAGAGAGCCAGAGAGCACAAGTGGGGGTAATATCAGAGGGAGAAGGAGAAGCAGGCCCCCCGCTGAGCAGGAAGCCCAATACAAGACTTGATCCCAGGACCCTAAGATCATGACCTAAGCTGAAGGCTTAACCAACTGAGCCACCCAGGCACCCCCAAATTAAAAATTATTGACAACAACTTGGATAAATCCTAAAGGTATTTTGTTGAGTGAAAGAAGCTAGGATCAGAAGGTTACGTAATATATAACTGCATTTATATGACATCTTAAAAAGGCAAAACTACAGTGATAGAGAACAGATCAATGGTTGTCAGGGGTTAGAAGTGGAGAAAAGTGCGACTATAAGGAACAGCAGGAAAGAAATTTGGGGGTATGGAAATGTTCTGTATTCTTATTGTGGTGGTGATTTCAGGCATCTATACATGTGTTAAAATCCACAGTATTGTACAGCAAAAGAAAAAAATATTTTACTGTATAATTTGTAAAATAAATATAGAAAAAGCATTAAAATTTTTTCTCAATGAAGGCAACAAGATTAAGCAATAAACCGTGCAACATAATATAGTACATACTAAAATAACATTTGTTGAGTATTTATGATGTTCTGGGTATTGTGTGAAGAAGTTTACTTGCATTATTGTATTGAATCCTTATGATATCCCAATGAGAAAACTACTACTATTCTTACTTAACAGATGGATATGCTGAGGCTTAGAGAACTTTACATATGAAGTCTATCAATAGGTGGCCATGATAGAAAGGGATTAAAAGACTAGCAAAAAGTAATTTTTATTAATTACAGAAACTTGATAATGTTAGTGGTAGCAGGTAGAGAGATCATTATTCCTTTTTCTGAATAGAATAAATTTATTAAGCCTAGAGGCCATTGGTGTTGGGGCACCAATAAACAATTTGGTGATTGGAGACCAATGATTCCTAAGCAGAATGGTTGTTTATCCCTAGAAATATAAAGCCAGTTTGTGAATGGTTGATCTAAGATAAAAACAGAAAACATACCCTTGCATCTGCTACCTATGCAATCTTTAAGAGACTCTATTGCTGCAGCATATTTGGTAGAACTCTTCTTAAAGTTCTTGCTCCTGCCACAGCCATCCCAATTTTTGACTTCACAAAGTTTACTGTGCACTAGATGGAGCAGAAATATAGCTATTTATTGTCACTTCCAAGCTATGGCCCATTTTGCTGTCACAATACCTTTTAGTACTCAACTTTGGTGCTCCTCTGCTGTTTAGTCTCCTTGTGTTCTGAGAGGTGGAACCACTGCTTTTAAAGGTGAATTTTCTAATATAGTAGTAATCACAACAAACACAATGTACTAAAGTGCACTGTAAGTGGGATGACAGTAATTATGATCAATAATATATAATTATTTCACATTGGAAATCTGAAGAATTATTTCTACACAAAATTGGGTTACCAATTACTAGAATAAATCATTAAATTAGGATCAGTGGAATAATTTCAATAATGTGAAATATCATTGCTTTGATGATGACAATAATAACTTCTTTTTATCAAGAAATCCACTATGTGCCACTCATCAAACTTATGACATTACAAACTTCATGCATAATTTCATTTATTCTTCAGAAACATCACAATGAGATAGGTATAATTGATGAGGAAATTAAAGTTTAAAAGAGTTAATTAAAAATTTCAAGGTCACATAGCTGTCTTACCCCATATGCCAAGGATCTTAATAATTATTTTACATTGCCTTAACTTGAATTCCTGATTTCTAAAGTATCTTCTCTTCACCTTCACCCTTTCCTTACTTTTTGTGTGCCACCGTCCTATTATCCCTTAAGCCCATCTCAGGTATCCTCTTTCCTAAGAAGAAATTTACTGATCTCTCTTCACCATTCTCTTCCCCTTTCTCTCTAGGCTGGGTTAGGTGTCCTTTTGTTATGCTCTCATAGCATATCTCTATAAAAGCACCTCACATGTTACATGGAAACCACTAGTTTATGGCCTTACTTCTCCTACTAGACTATAACAGATTCAAAAGCAGGCAGTATTCTCTTTCATTTTAGTACACCAAACAAGTTGCACAGTGTGTACTAAGTAGTAATAACTAATAATATTTGTACATAATAACAATATATGTATATATGTAAAATGTTTCCATATATAAACATATATAATAACATATGTAAAATGTGTCCATCCATAATAATTAAAATGTTTTAATACTTTAATTATAGTAATATAAAACTGGTCATTTTTACTACTTATGTTTAGTAACATTCAGCTGGACTAAGGAGGTATTGATCTATTGTGTGTATGTACACACATATATATGCATATATATAAACTACTGTAAAAATATATACATAAAAATATATATATATAAATATATACCATATGATAGTTTATATATATATATGAACTAACACATTAAAAATGGCCATTATTTTATACTATTAAATCTTTCAAAGAGCAGGTATAAACAAACATTAAATGCATCTATAATACTGAGAATACATTCCAGTGTGAACATGTAAGTAATATAACGTAGAATTATCCAATTTAGAGTTAAAATAAAATTAAGGTTTAGGCAAGATTTGTAATTATTGTAATTCTAGAAGAGAATATTGCCACTAATAATTATTGTAAGTAAAAAGAACATTCTTGATTTATAGGATAAAGCTGCTATATATACATGATAAAATTTTATTGTATATTATTATTCAATTTAATTTTCTATATCTTAAAATTTAGTACTATTTTATTATGCTAATATATATAACTGTTTATCTTTTCAACTAACTATAATCTTTCCAAGTTCAGAATGTGAAATCCTAAAGTACAGAGACTTGGTTATGTATTTAATTCTTTCATGTGCAATACCAATAGGTATGCTTCTGCTTAATAATATTAAATGATTGCTACTTGTAATGTGCATGGTCCAAAAGCCCGACATTGTTAAAATTAATGTACATAATACTCATCTGAATATTCATAGAAAGTTAAAATAATTAGCAATTGCTATTATAATATTCATAATAATATCATAGATACTCCTATTAAACAATAAGGAAGATCAATGAAGAGGATTTAGCCAGTTAATATACTTATATAATTATAAGAAACTTTAAGTAATACATGATTATTAAAGGTTATTTGCCATTCTTGTCTGTTTCTTATATATTGTCCCATATCACCCAAAGTAAAAAATGCATACCTGTTTCTACAGGTCTTGTATTCTACTTTAAGAATTGGTTTACAAGATTCAGATTTTCTTCCTTCTCTTTGACTTTTTCCTAAAGAAAGAAAAAGGATTTTGTTAAATTATATTTAAATTCTACACATCCGTGACAACTTCAAAAGTCTGACTAAAAGAATATAAAGAAAAAATAAGGTAATTATGTGTTTTTCATAATAGGATAAATACAATTCTATGCATCCTAACATATTTGTTGAATCCTAATAACTGACTGCTATATAAGCAATAAAGTTATTTGTAAACTTATCATATTCGTAAACTTATCAAACATACACTTTCTCCATGTATAAATCTAGTCTCATATAAAGTTATTTTAATTATTTAAATTTTAAGATTACTTTAGAATTAAAGACACATACACATGCATACTTATCTGCATAATGAAATACATAATTATGAAAATCCATACTAGGCCCATTATAGATTTTATCTATGATACAAGCAAACCCTTTTCTCATGCAGAAAGACTTGCCATTTAAAACTTATGACACACTATCAAAATCACTGCATTTTCATCAAATTCATTTAACAGAAAGCCCATTAGACAATGAACAAAGATGGTATATTTCAATGATGTTCTATATTTGCATAAAAATAGTTTCTTGTAGGGAAAGGTTATGTTGTTTAGACTCCATGGATTTTGAAAAATGATCAAAAAGAGTAGGAAATGGAAGTAAAGCTACTTATGCATATAACATCTTTCAGTTGTAATTTTGCTTATAATTCTATGTCTCATTTTGATAAAATTGACATTTTTGTGATATGTTTGTTTCTTTTTTATTTTAATAAGTACCCTTATTTATTCTTGTATTGCTACAACTGTTTATAGACACAGATACCTATTATGTAGATAGACGTTTATGTGCATTTAAGTTTAAATTTTCAGGATAGCTTCAGAATGGCACAATCATAATCCAAATAGGATGTCAAAATAATTTAATTTGTTTAAAGGGCAGGGTATCAGCATATAACATACCTTATCTGCTACATGGCATGCTTTCTGAATTTGCTTTCTCTTTCTTTTACCCTATGTCAACTAAAGAAGCAATCAATAATAAAATATTGGTCATAATAATTCACACTGTAAAAAAGATTTAAAAGTATCTGTATTACATATAAAAAGGAATTACTGACATTATATGTAGATCATGATGCCTTACAAAGAGAGAACTTTGGCTCAGGGACTCACTCTGAGCAGTGGTCTTAGGGGTAAGAAACAGCTGGTTGGTGATTCCTGGTTTGGGTAACATGTGGGAACAGAGAGAACTGAAGGAAATAACAACAAGGAAAGAGACCCATTTTCCTCAGTTGATATATTTTTGATCCATTTCTTCTCTAATAATTGCCAAGCTATTAATCAAATCAAGACAGTATATTTGCTGTTGTTTATATATATGTGTGTGTGTGTAAGCAATTACAATTTTTCAATCAGTGCACATTAGTATTATCCACTAATTTCAGTAAAAAGGAATAATACCTAAATTAATTAATTAATGATTTACTTCAATTTCCAACTCCAATAATTAATTTTTGGCTGATGGTTTTCAACTTTGATTATGTTCATTGTCTGTCAATAATTGAAATATATTTATATGTTATGTAAAAAATTGTTATAAAAATTGCATTTATTGCTACTCTTTATGTTCAAAGTACTATACTAAATGGCACAGTAAAAAGAAGTAACTGACCACCAGGAAACTTAAAATTTACTAGTTTAAGCAAAGCATATATAAAACTGACAATATGAGGTACCATAAACAAATAAGTGATTGATAGACTTGAAGTGTTGAGAATAGTAGGAGTACATGAAGTAGGAGTTAAGAATATTATAGTTTCACTTTATGATAGAAAAATTTACAGATTTTTGCAGATGATTTTCTAGAAGCTAGATTAAGCATTAAAAGATAGAACTTGGGAGTTCTGGTCCAAGATGGTGACACAGGAAGACCCTGAACTCACCCCCTCCATAGACACACCAAATCTACACCTATTAATAGAGCAATTCCTCCTGAAGAAGAACTGAGAGCCCATTGAACAGCTTCTGCACAACAAAAGATAGAGACCACAAAGAGACAGCACAAGAGAGGGAGACACAGTAACAAAGGGAAACTCTAACCCCAACACTGTGAACTACAGTGGGGAGAGACAGGACTAAGGGACCATGAGCAGACTCATCTGTTCTGGGGCATAGAAAAAAGTTACGGTTTAAAAGGCAACTAGAATATGATGGAACCAGCCAAATGGAAGAGCTGAAAGGTTCTTAAGGCTGGCGGGCTGGCAAGCACCACTGTTTATGATCCCCCCTCCACCTTGAAAATGAAGGTGGGAGCAGGGTCCAGGTGCCATAGTTGGCCTCCCACCTCAGCAAGACTTGGGCCCCTAGCCCATGCCAGCCCTTGATGGCCTGGGTCACTGAAAAAAAGCCACAGTTTAAAAGAGCAACTACCATATAAAAGGTCAACCCCTAGAACTTCACCAAATGGTGAGGGAGCTGCTGAAACTTTCTCCAGCCTGGCAAGCACCATGATTTACATTCCCCTCTCCACCTTGATAGCATGAACAAGAGCAGGATCCAGTCACCTTAGCTAGCCCACCACCTCAATATCCCTGGGCCCCTAGCTCACACCAGCCCCAGCCATCCCACCAAGACGCCCCAGTGCAGTGCACACTGGAACACTCCTTGTCAGTGCTCACTACAGCTCAAGCCTTTTTGCCAAAGTGACACATGTGCAAAGCACTCCATAATACTCCAGGCCCATATAATGTTGACTCCAGACAATTCACCAGGCAGCCCTTGCATGGAGCACCCCAGAAACCCCTGGTCCATGCTCACTTTGGCTCCAGCTTCTCCACTAGGGCTTCCTCTGCATGGAGCACACTGGGAACCCGTGGGTCACACTCTGCCTCAGTTCCAGCCTCCCCACCAGGATTCCCCCTGTGTGAATCACTCTGGGACACCCCAACTTGCACTAACTTCAGTTTTAGCCATCCTGCCAGGGCACCTTATGCATGGAGAGCCCAAGGATGCCCCCACCCCTAACCCTGCCTGGCACCCACTTCAGGTTTAACTATCCTGGTTGGGTGTTCTTTGTGTGGAGAGCCCCAGGACATCCCAGCTAGTACCCACTTTGGCTTCAGCCATCCTGCCAGGGTGCACTCTGTGTAGAGTCCCAGGATTCCAGCCCCCCAACACAGCTTACACCCACTTCAGCTGTCCTGGCAGGTCACTCTCTGTGTGGAGACCCTAGGACCACCCTGGCCCATACCCATTTCAGTTTCATCCATACCACCAGATTTCCCAGCACAGAGTGCCCCATGACCCATAGTACACAACAGCCACTGCTCCAAATAACCAACCAAAGTCACCAGGCACATACAGTCTACACAGGGGATGACAATACACAAGATCATTCCTTCAAATTTAGAAAAAGTAGCTGTTGCACCTAATTCACAGAAACAAAGAAAGTCAAGTAAAATAAGGAGACAGAAGAATATGTTCCAAATGAAAGAACAAGACAAAGCCTCAGAAAAAGAACTAAATGAAACAAAGATAAGCAACCTACCTGATAGAGTTCAAAAGTAATGGTCATAAAAATGCTCAATGGACTGGAGAAAAGAGAGGATGAACTCAGTGAGAACTTTAATATGAGATTAAATATATAAAAAACCATCATTAGTGTTGAAGAATACCATAACTGAAATGGAAAATCCACTAGAGGTAATCAACAGTAGATTAGAAGGTGCAGAAGTGATCTGAAAGACAGGGTAATGGAAAACACCCAGCCTGAGCAGCAAAAAAGAAAAAAAATAATTGTAGAAAATGAGCATAGGTTAAGGAATACCTTGGACAACATCAAGTAAACAAACATTCTCATTATAGGCATCTCAGAAGGAGAAGAGAGAGAAAAGGGCACAAAACTTATTTGAAAAAAGTGATAGCTGAAAACTTCAATAACCTGGGGGAGGAAACAGACATCCAGGCTCAGAAAGCAGAGTTCCAAACAAGATTAATCTAAGGAGGTCCACACCATGACACATAATAATTAAATATGTACAAGATTAAAGATAAAGACCTAAATGTGAGACAGGAAACTATCAAAATCCTAGAGGAGAATACAGGCAGCAACCTCTTTGGCCTCAACTGAAGCAACTTCTTACTAGGGAGGCCAGGGAAACAAAAGCAAAAATGAATTATTGGGGCTTCATCAAGATAAAAAGATTCTGCACAGTGAAGGAAACAATCAACAAAACTAAAAAACAACCTGTGAAATGGGAGAAGATATTTGCAAATGATATATCTGATAAAGGATTAGTATCCAAAATCTATAAAGAAATTATCAAGCTCAACACCCAAAAAACAAATAATCCAGTTAAGAAATGGGCAGAAGACATGTATAGACATTTTCCAAAGAAAACATCCAGATGGCTAACACATGAAAAGATGCTCAACATCATTTATCATCAGGGAAATGCCAATTAAAACCACAGTGAGATACCACCTCACACCTGTCAGAATGACTAAAATTAACAACACAGGAAATAAGAGAATCCTCCTACACTGTTGGTGGTAATACAAACTGGTGCAGCCACTGTGAACAATAATATGGCTGTTCCTCAAAAAGTTAAAAATGAACTACCCTATGACCCTATGACCTATTATGTATTCACCCAAAGGATACAAAAGTACTGATTCAAAGGGACATATGCACCCTGATGTTTATAGCAGCATTATCAACAATAGCCAAATTATGGAAAGAACCCAAGTTTCATTGACCAATGGATAAAGAAGATATGGTATGTGTGTATACACACACACACACACACACACACACACACACACAGGAATATTACTCAGCCATCACAAAGAATGAAATCTTGCCATTTGCAATGACTTGGATGGAGCTAGAATGTATTAATGCTAAGCAAAAGAAGTCAGAGAAAGACAAATAACATATGATTTCACTCATATGTGTATTTTAAGAAACAAAACAGATGAACATAGGGAAAAAAAGAGAGGGGGGAGGCAAACCATAAGAC